GTGGAGAGAGCATGCAGTATGGGCGGGGGGGGGGGGGGATGGCTGTTGCTGCGTCCCATTGCAAGCTAACCCCCGACGTTGCAATAAATAATTTAGCCTACATACACACGCATACACATACTCGTATGCGTACACACCGGGCACATCGGTGCCAGAACATATCGTCTATCAACGTGCACGACGCTCCCCTCCCCCTCCCCCGATGCAAACACATGGACAGATGCTCCCAGCAAATGAACGTCTCTGAATCGTCCGCAAGACCCATTGAATCGCGCACGCGCATTGCTAGCCGCCGTTGCCGATCAACGAGCTTTGGGACGCATCGCGATAACGGACAACGGCCACGCCGTGCTGGAGATCCGCGGCGGCGCAGACAGCAGCCCACAGTCCACATCACTGCCAGCAGCGACCTGCACCACGCTCACCGACGGCGCGCGCGAACGTGGCGTTGCGCAGCGCCCGGCCGCGGCCCGCCGCGACCGAGGCCGGCTCCGGCGCGAGCGGGCAGCAGGCGCCGCGCGCGCGGGCTCACCTGACCCCCGTCATGTGCTTCATGGCCGTCTCGGCCGCCTCGGCCGTCTCGTACTCGACGTAGCAGTAGCCGCGGTTCAGGTCGGCGTGGAATCGCTTCGACGGCAGGTCCACCAGCTTCACCGGCCCGTACACCGAGAAGATCTCCTGGATGTGGTCCTGCGGCGGCCGGCGGTGGTGGCGATGATGACGGTGATTGGGGCTCAGGGGCGCGCCGACGACCGAGGTCATTTTGCTTGGGGCAACGGCTCAATACACTTCCTCGCTGTAGCGAGGGGGGTAGTCGGCGGCCCGCCTGTGACGGCAGGCGGCGGCTGGGGAGGGAAGGGTGAGAAGGGTGGAAGGGGGGGGGGGAGGGGTGGCGGCGACAGATCGGGAAGGGAGGGACGGTACACAAGGCCTGCGCCGACCGTGGCGGGCCACGGCCTGAGAGCGAGCGGGGGGAGGGCGGAGGGAGGACACAAACCACCGCGTCGTGCACGGACCCGTGGACTCCCCGCCCTCCCCAACGCCCGCCATCACAAGCCAATGGAGGCAGCCCCAGTCAGCAGACCGCGGCGCGGCGGGCCCAGCCCGCTGGCCGGCCACCCCGCGCCGTGCCGCGCCGCTCATACCAGTGAGATTGATGGTGGGGCGTGAGGCCCGCCGCCCCGCCGCTAATGATGCTCCGGATACCCCCACTCAGTTCAGCTCCGACACCGGGGGCGTGTCTCGAATCAGCGAACCGGCCCACTAGCGGATGTCGTCGGCGGCGGTGGCCGTTCCGCCGACGCTCAGTCTACGCTACTGTTTCGGCTGACCCCGGGTCACCGCCGATCAGCGCCACACACTTGCATGCACGCACAGACAGCCCACGGACGCGTGAACACATCGCCACGCCATTGCTCACACCGAGACACGGAGAGCCTGACCCCTCCACCTCACTCCACACACACACACACACACACAGCCATGCAGTGAACCGAGCGGTGCCGCTGTATGGGCGCCAAATGACCACCGCAGTCGGTGCCCCCGTAAACTCCAATAAACAACAACGAGCGGTGCCGCACCGCCAGCGACCTTGCCCGTCACCGCCTGACCCACAGGCACGCCATCTCACCGCAGCGGCCAGAGGAGGACGGGCGTACCGCCCTCCCCACCCCGAAACGAGCGCACGCCAGGTGAAGAGGGCAACGTGTCGCCCCACCAGTCGCTACCCGCATCTGAGTCCCGCCCCGGCCGAAACGGGCAGGAGTTCCCTCATAATAAGACCAGCTGCCTCCTATCCACGGCCCTGCCGAGATCTCGTCAGGCCCTGCCGAGATCTCGTCAGGACCAGCCGAGATGTCGTCAGGCCCTGCCGAGATCTCGTCAGGACCAGCCGAGGCCTCGTCATCCGCGTGGGTCTCCCTTCAGGGTTGTCTACACCGCCGCGGCCACCCGCGCAGAAAAGCCCCGCCGCGCGCTTCCGAGAAGACGGCAGCGGCCGTGAACGCACGCCCCGCTCGCGCGAAAGCCGTGCGCGCCGGCCGCCGTGGCTCCGGAGCGTCACTGCCGCAGCCAGCCAGACCGGCGGCAGACACCCGCCCGGCGTCACGTGCCGCCGCCCCGTGCCGCCGAGCCGGCATCACGCCAATTAACGCGGCCAGCCGAGAGAGATGCGCCAATTTTCTGACGGCGTGCAGCTCGGCCGCGCATTAATTGGATCCGGCCCGGGCGGCGGCAGGTGCGCCGCTGAAACTCGCCCCACCAATCGATGGGCCCGGGCGGCGGCGGCGGCGGCGGCGGCGGCGGCAGGATCGACCGGTGCCGATCGGGCCGTCGCCGCCGCCGCCGCCCGCCGCCCGCCGCCGCCGCCACCGCCGCCCGGGGCTCTGGCACGTGCACTTCGGCCGCACGCCCCGGCCGTCCGCCCAGCGCAGCGGCGCCGGCGGCCCCGGCTGCCGGTCCCGCCGCGGCGGACCGGCCAACCGCGGGTGGCCGCCGGGGGTGACCGCCGCCGCGTGTCGTCGGCGTCGGCGTCGGCACCGGCGCCCGGCACGGCGCGTGACGCCCGGAGCAGGCCGCGGTGGGCCTCAGGGGTCGCGTGCTGGTGAAGACACGCGCCGCTGTCGCGGCCACCGTGGTATCGTGTGATCAGTGTCACCGGACGCACAGCTGGGAAACACGAGCCGACGCGTGCGTCCCGGGCGACGACATTCAGCCAAATTAATCCAGTCGGCCCGGCCACCAGGGGCTCGATGACCTTGTGACGTGGATGCACTCGGTGACCCCGTTAGGCGGCTGCAGTTATGTGATGGCTCAGCACACGCCACGGACATCCCCGGAGAATATCAAACCTCTTTTTTAAAGATTTAGTGCGAACTTTTGATTGGATGTATTTCTGGGACTAGAGTCCCATGCTTTTGCGGAGCGTGTTGCGCAAGCCCCGGCCCCCGCCATGCGATCGTAATATTTCAGGTCAACGGCAAGATTTTGCCGGCGAAAGTCCAGCGTGCCAGAAACGCCCGGTACGGCCCCGTCCATCCTGTGGACGCACCTGACCTTTCGCGCGGCTGCTGTCACCAGCGGCGGGCCGTCCCGCCAGGAGCGAACAGAGGTCGCTTAAAACGACTCGCTCCCACCCGCCACGAGTGGGTGGATCTAAAGGCAGGCGCTCTAACTCACAGGGCTACTGGGGCCCTTGACCAATATATTAGTCGTTAAAGGCACTTCCAGCAGGACAAAGGTTGAACGTGCTCTCTGGGCTAACATCTGTGGAACTTTCTCATCATCCTAAGAACCAAGACTTAATCAAGATATTACCATCGAAATCAAAATAAAGATCGCTTTCCCTTCACATTCATTATCATAACCAATAAGCACACTAAAAGTTAAAATAGTTAATCCCGAGTCCGTTACGACAATGAATGTAACGGCAACTCCGCACTGAAGGCTAAGCATACGTCAAACCGACGGAAAAGCAGGTCAGAGCTTTCTCAACGAAATGGAAGCCAGAAATACGAGTTCCCTTTACTACGGACTTAGTTCGAATTTATGGGAGAGCACGTTCAGCCAGATGGTGATATTTCACAACTGTGGCACACGAATGAATCAAGGTCCAGATTTAGATTTGAGGACCCCCTGCCGCACAGCGCCACGCCGAGCCGAGCCGAACCAATAACGTCCCGTCATAACCTATTGACGAGCCAATGTAGGAAAAAACTGCTGCTTTAAAACGGTTGCATACTTCGTTTTTATCTTTTATTAGCATGTATGGTTTAACCGAAGCAAGCGATCGCTTGGCTTAGCCGAGCCAATCCCGTCCTGCCACAATCATATGACGAGTAATCTACGAAAGACGCTGTTTTGAAGTGATAACCCGTTTTCGTTTCATCTTTTGTACGCATGGGTTTAGCGCACCAACGATTCCCGTTTTCATCCAGTTTTCCCGTGCAGGATCCGGACCAGGCTAACACCGGACAAACTGCGGCCGCCGTAACGGACGCCAAAACTTCCGACCGTAACTCGCCCGGGGCGTGTGCGGCTCGCGACCGTCACAGCGGGGGTTCAGCACTGTCGGCCGGGACATGTTGAGCTCGGTCCGCCCGCCCGTCTCGCTCGGACCCCCAGCGCCGGCCAGTCTCCCGCAGGGCACGACTCGCGCCCGAGCTCGCCCGCTCTGTCAGGGTCGAGGCCACGTGCCCAGCTGGTGTCTTGAGTGCCTGAGACCATTTCAATAACAAGAACACATTCTTCAAGCGATTGAGGTGGAAAGACCGGCAGGGATGTGAACACGCTCGTGAGGCTTGATCCGTGGGCTATGCCTTCAAGCAGTGCATGAGATTCTGCGTGGTGGGCGGCGTTGGTGAATCAGACGACTTCTTTTACTGGCTTGCATATCGTCAGATGATGGAAAACATCTCAACGGAAGCGACGTGAGCGCGACAAAATGGGCCTGGCGAAACCGTCCGCACATCGGACTTGAAATCGAGACCCTACATCGCAGACCGCGTGCTGACCGATACGACTACTGATCCCGATACCGTGACCGATACCAGTACTGATCCCGATACCGTGACCGATATCAGCACTGATCCCGATACCGTGCCCGATACCAGTACTGATCCCGATACCGTGACCGATATCAGCACTGATCCCGATACCGTGCCCGATACCAGTACTGATCCCGATACCGTGACCGATATCAGCACTGATCCCGATACCGTGACCGATACCGAGTCTGCGGACGTCGGCCACCACAGCCCAGTGGTTGCTGACCGGAGGCAACTCACCCCAACCCTGGCTCTCACCTTGGTCACGTTACGCGTCAGATGGCCCACGGGATCTTGAGCGGCTTGGGGTGGGCGAGCGGGCCTTGCGGCGCGGCCGGCTGGCGCTGCGCTGAGCGCGACTTGCGGTTGGCTGGAGGCGGGCGGCCCGCTCCGGCCGACGCCGCCGCCCGCCGGCCGGCGCCGCCCGCGGCCGCGGGCCTCGCTCAGAGCTGCTGCTGGAGGAGCTGCTGCTGCGCGAGCTGGCGCTGCTCGAGCTGGACGATGAGCCGGACGAGCTGCCGGACGAGCTGCAGGTGACGAGACATGGTGGTGTTGTGCGCTGATTGTGCGGGGAGGCTGGTGAGGTCAGCTGATTGGACAGGAGGGCCATTAGAGGGAATGGACAGGGAGGAAGTAGGCGTTCATCAACATACTAATGATGGAAGAGGGGGAATAGGATGTGCATGGGGAGTGGACCAATGCTGGTCAGTATCATGTTTCAACACAACACACACACTTATCTATAATTTTTAGTAAGTGGTTGATGACATGCAGCTTAACAAAACAGCACATTCAAATGTTTGTAACACCTGTTACATGCAGCACTACTGTTCAGGGTTCTTGCTTCAGTCCAGTGAAGTAAAAAAACATGTCATAACAGGAATGTTTCCGACAAAGCACACAGCCTAGGTGAGGTCCCTTGCAGGGTAGTGTGTTCCTGAGTAATGCACACTTATGTCACCTCAGAATTTCCTAGCTGCAAACTTAATTCTCAATAATCACAGCTGGTTTGGATCCACCATGCTTGACAGATGTAAAACTGTGATGATGGGTTGAGGTTTTAGGGTGCATCAATGGCTACAGAGCCACTCCCTGGATTGGCTGTTGTGATCTACTTTTCATTGATCATAAGAGTTACTTGGGTGTAGGTGTACTTTCCTACTAACATTAGAAAAAATCATTGCACACCATTCGTCGTGTTTAAGGCGGCACTAATCGTAAATGATCTCAAAACAGGTAGAATCATGCTCCTACCTTCGAATTTCAATAACTTCGATGGCGAGCTCCCGAGCGCCGCGCGCACCGCACCGCCTGGACTCCCCAGCGCCATTTCTGCGTTGCCGTTACGTAAATACAATATTTCTGCTTACCAAGAATTCTACAAAATGTACGGAACCAAGGTAAACCATTCGTCGTGTTAAGGCGGAACATATCGTAAATAATTTCAAGACAGATAGAATCATGCTCCTACCCTCGAATTTTAATAAATACGATAACGAGCTCCCGAGCGCCGCACGCACCGCACCGCACCGCCTCGACTCCCAAGCGCCGTTTCTGCGTTGTTGCGAAAGCACAATATTCCTGCTTATCAAGAACCATAAAACATGTACGGGACCAAGGTAACAATAATAAAGCAACCAAAACCGTTTCTTATCGACTTTAGGTACATTTATGAACACACAGGCCAGAATAGTCCAGAACATATCCTAAACTAGCACCTAACCTAACCTAACCTAACCTAACCTAACCTAACCTAACCTAACCTAACCTAACCTAACCTAACCTAACCTAACCTAACCTAACCTAACCTAACCTACCTAACCTAACCTAACCTAACCTAACCTAACCTAACCTAACCTAACCTAACCTAACCTAACAACCTAACTGAGAATAGACTCAAATTTCGTGGATTCTTGTTACCTTGGCGCGGTACATTTTTATGGTTCTTGATGCTGCTTGATGCGCAGTAATTTGTGACCCGCGCAGTAATGGCGCCGGTGTCGCGGGTGCTGTGTGTGTGCGGCGCTCGGGAGCTCGCCATCGTAATTATAAAAAATTGAAGGTAAGATCATGAATCTACCTGTTTTGTGATTATTTACGATATGTCCTGCCCTAAACACGACGAATGGTTTACCTTGGTCCCGTACATTTTGTAGAGTTCTTGGTAAGCAGAAATATTGTATTTACGCAACGGCAACGCACAAACGGCGCAGGGGAGTCCAGGCGGTGGTGGCGCGGCGCTCGGGGCCCGCCATCGAAGTTATTGAAATTTGAAGGTAGGAGCATGATTCTACCTGTTTTGAGATTATTTATGATATGTCCTGCCTTAAAAACGAAAATGGTGTACAATGATTTTTTCTAATGTTAGGTAGGAAAGTACACCCTCACCGCTACTTGTTAATGAAAAATCAATTCAGCATACACAAAGAGAATGCATGAAAGGACCTTACCACAATTTTGTCCTCAAATCAGATACAGTCCCAGCATACCTCTAAGCATGTTACAAATAACAAGAACCTGTTACCTTCTACTGCTATCACTTGATGATGGACTGCCACTCTTGGCCCGCTTCTTACGCTCCTTATCACGGCCTCGCTCTTTTTCCTTTTTCTTGGGCTCAACTGGCTTCTTTTTCTTGGCTGCTTCCGAACCTGATCCCGAGCTGCTGCTCTCACTGCGCTCCCTGGCCCTGGCAACAGGACAGGATAAAGTCAAACCCAATGAAATAAAAAATGTGTCTCACGTAATTATGAACTGCTAATATTGCAAACTCCATTGCATTTTAGGAATGGGCTCTCCACTGTTACATGAAAAATTGTTTTAATTCATATTCAACAGACTACCCATCCTGCAAACCGTAACAGATCATGACCAGACCATAATAGGATAGCCGTATTGTAACAACTGTCAGGCACTGACGCCGCACCAATCGCCCATTCATGTCCCTGCCGCGGTTTGCTGTCTGGCCCACTGATCCAACAATGCAAGCCGGTTCAGGCGTCCCGATCGCATGGTGCCGACTTAGAACTTACATGGCTCTTTTCGCCAGTGCAGGAGGCGAACTCAAACGCGATTTTCTCTACGATGCAGAACCAGTACACAAACCCTTGTCAAAATGATTAAATTACAACGCGCCAGGCACACGCCCGATCCACGCTACGCGCCTGGTATACTTGGGGAACGCGGCGCGTGCCAGATCGGCCGCGTTAATGCGTTCGTGCCGCAAATGCGCCAATACGTTGTGAATGTCCTGCATCTTTGTATAACCCATTTTCGTGATAACCTACAATTTTGCAATTTCTGTGGAATTGATTTCTGAACAAATTAAATCGGAATAATTATTTACACCATCTAGCATATCTTTAGATCAGTCAATTCGGTCAAGATGCCTTGTATGGCAAAAGTGGCTTTGAAATCATAAGATTTGAATGACGTCATGTAAGAAGGAAACTAAAAACCTATCTCTCTTTTGGAAACTTGGTAGGCATATGATGTCATAATAAGCAACATTTTTTGCAAGACTGAAAGCATACGAACTCAAATATTCATCCGGCCTTGATCCTATCATCCCTAACAGCGCGGGCAGGAGCTGGTGCGTTTGTGCGTGGTGAAATCCGACTGATTTACCAGCGATTTTTGCGTATGTGCAAGAGGAATCGTGCTCGATGACTGATATTATTGACATAGGTCTCTACTGAGCAGAAGTGGTCGGTCAAAGTGGTAGGATGAGTTGTAAGATTGATCAAACACTGTGGCTGTGTCATGCCCTATACCCATCAAAGCCCAGTTGCTTTACTAGTTACATGCTAACCTTTTTACTTGAGCATCTCGATTGCCTCACAAGTGGGGTAAAGGACATTTGTTTAACTTCCCAATTATCTCAGTACATGGGAGAAATCAATATCATAATTGGGATTTTATGTTGGCTGACCTGTGCATCTAAGCTCTAGCCTCATGCCATCTATCAAACATGGTTGGGGCCTCACTTCTAACATAGCGGGGAGTGCTTTCATAACATACCTGTCAAACTCGCCTCAAGCCTTTGTTTTGTGTTCTGCTCTGGAATGTGTCCTAGATGATCACCTTCACTGATCGCTGGAAGAACAATTGTTATGATGCCCTTCAATGAAAATATGGAAGCCTCAGCATATAACAGAATGTGCAGCATATTCCTTAGTTAGTCTGCAAGCTGACATCAAACCTTGAAAAAGTAATTTTTCTTCCTAAGTCAACACTAAGACAGGCCATATGAGGCCATATCTATGAAAATATTTGATGTCATGATCTGATTTTCGTTATCAGGCAGTTTGCAGGGTGACAATGAGCCTTTAATTCAGTCATTTTATCAGGTCATTTTCAA